ATTGAGCCTAAGATTCCGAAAAGAAGGCCCAGAGCCCTGGAGGGCTTCCAGCTCCCCTTCAGCCCCCCTGCCCGAAGGCTGGGCTGAGCCTAGAACCAGGGGACTATGAGAGCCCAGGAGGAGCCAGCCTCTGGTAACGGCAGCCCTCACCACATCCTCTGCACTGCTGCAGCCCCACCCCTCCCAAGCCACATTCAACATTCCCCTACCAGGTCTAGTCTCCCAAACTGCAACTTTCTTCACAACACCCCCAAGCCCCGACTAAGCAGTGCCGGCATTAAGGCACCGAACCTTCCGCCACCCAAGGCCAGGCACTACCTTTCTCCTCTCCTCTTTCCTCCTCCTCCTCCTTTCTCTCTTTCTCTCTTTCTTCTCCCCTCCCCCTTCTTTAATCTCTCCTCTTCTCTCCTCCCTTCCCTCCCCCCACAATCATAATTTCAAGTCAAGGCTGATTCCATCAGTGCCACTCCCCAAGTGCCAACCATTGCTCAGTTAAGGACAGTCAATCTCTTAGTGGAGCTCACACCCTATGGCCACAAGGAGGGAGGAAGGAATAAAGACATTTACATGAGTTGTAATTATTTCAAGGGGCCCACAAGGAGCTCTGATACTGTGTTCTCTGATGCTTCTGTGGCCATAGCTGGCCAGTGTTTTGCTTGGGGCAGCTGATGGCCTTAAGTATCTCCAATGTCCAGATGATCATTAGCTTTTGATGATTCCTGAACACATTCTGCTCAGGAGTCAGACCAACTCCCATTCCTCGTTTTCTCTTACCCAGACTGTTACTGTTTTGCCAAATGGTGGCCCCCAGTATGTCCTAAGCTCATAGGTCAGTGGCTGGAAGGGACCTCAGGGCCATCTAATTCAAGGACTCATTTTATAGAGGAGAAAACTGAGGCTGATGACAGTATGCTTTGTCCAAGGCCACAAAAGTTAGAAGGATCAGAGGTAAAATTTGAACCCAGGACCTCTGACTCCCCAGCCAGGGCTCTTTCCACCATACCACACTGCCTCTTGCCATCTTGGCCCTCACTTGACCAGTTGCCTGGTTTCCACCTAGTCCCCAGTGGGCTCTGGAAGAGATGACAGTGAGACAGAGCCATCCACTCTCAACTGGGCTCTCTGCTTCAAGGCAATCCTTTTACTTTTTCCTGATCAACTCTCCATGCCCCACCCCACAGGTTGTGATCTAAACCTTCTCTTCATTCCTCAAGCCACATATACCAACCCAACTCTTTTCCTTCTCAGCAGAAACCTTTGCCTCATACATCTCTGAAAAAAGTGAGGCCATCCATCTCCTCCTCAGCTCCACACTTGAAACCATTCCAACATCATACCTCTCTCCAGAATCCAGGGAAGAGGAGCCCCTTCTTCTTATATATGTATTTTATAAATATATATTTTTTAGGCAATTGGGGTTAAGTGACTTGCCCAGGGTCACACAGCTTGTAAGTGTCAAGCGTTTGGTCTGAGGTTGAATTTGAATTCAGGTCCTCCTGACTTCAGGGCCGGTGCTCTATCCATTGCGCCACCTAGATGCCCCAAGGAGCCCCTTCTTCTTGCCACCAGCAACCCCTCTACTTGTTCCTTTGACTTGAGCCCCTCTACCATCCTCCAGGAGGCTGCCCTTCAATTGTCCCCTTTCTCCTCCCAATTTTCAATCTCTCCTTATCCACTGGCTCCCGTCTAAGCCCTTCTACCATCCTCCAGAAGCCTGCCCTTCAATGATCCCCTTTCTCCTCCCAATTTTCAATCTCTCCTTATCCACTGGCTCCTGTCTAAGCCCTTCTACCATCCTCCAGGAGGCTGCCCTTCAATGGTCCCCTTTCTCCTCCCAATTTTCAATCTCTCCTTATCCACTGGCTCCTGTCTAAGCCCTTCTACCATCCTCCAGGAGGCTGCCCTTCAATGGTCCCCTTTCTCCTCCCAATTTTCAATCTCTCCTTATCCACTGGCTCCTGTCTAAGCCCTTCTACCATCCTCCAGGAGGCTGCCCTTCAATGGTCCCCTTTCTCCTCCCAATTTTCAATCTCTCCTTATCCACTGGCTCCTGTCTAAGCCCTTCTACCATCCTCCAGGAGGCTGCCCTTCAATGGTCCCCTTTCTCCTCCCAATTTTCAATCTCTCCTTATCCACTGGCTCCTGTCTAAGCCCTTCTACCATCCTCCAGGAGGCTGCCCTTCAATGGTCCCCTTTCTCCTCCCAATTTTCAATCTCTCCTTATCCACTGGCTCCTGTCTAAGCCCTTCTACCATCCTCCAGGAGGCTGCCCTTCAATGGTCCCCTTTCTCCTCCCAATTTTCAATCTCTCCTTATCCACTGGCTCCTGTCTAAGCCCTTCTACCATCCTCCAGGAGGCTGCCCTTCAATGGTCCCCTTTCTCCTCCCAATTTTCAATCTCTCCTTATCCACTGGCTCCTGTCTAAGCCCTTCTACCATCCTCCAGGAGGCTGCCCTTCAATGGTCCCCTTTCTCCTCCCAATTTTCAATCTCTCCTTATCCACTGGCTCCTGTCTAAGCCCTTCTACCATCCTCCAGGAGGCTGCCCTTCAATGGTCCCCTTTCTCCTCCCAATTTTCAATCTCTCCTTACATCCTGGGTTATGTAGCATTGTTGTTTACAAATATGCACAAGTCTCTGCCATAAAAAAAAACTTTCCCTTGATCCTTCCGTCCCCTCAAGCTATATCATCCTATACCCCTCCACAGCCAAACTCCTACAAAAAGCTGGCTGCAGTAATTTCCTCCACCCTTTCAGCTCCCACTCATTCTTTGCCTTTTGCAAATGTAGCCTCAGTGGCCTCTCCAAGGTGACTAGTGATCTTTCATTCGCTAAATCCACGTCCTTTTTTGTCTTTCAAGTCTGAGGGCTCTGCAACATGGGATGCTGGTGAGCACCCCTCCCCCCAAACACTCTCTCCTCCCTGGCTTTTCCTGGCACTGATCTGGCCTGGTTCTCTTTCCACCTACCAGATGTGCACTTCTCAGTCTCCTTTCCTGGACCATTATCTATAACATACTTCTAGCTGTGAGTGTCTGACATTGCTCTGTTCTGGGCCCTCTTCCCTACACTCTCTTTCTTACTGATTGGCCCTCATGGATGGGTTCGGGTATCATCTCTATCCTAGATCTACATATCTAGGTCAATACTTTCTCCTGAACACCGGTCCTGTGCTGCCATATTGAATCTCTCCAACTGGATGACCTATAAGGATCTCTAACTCAGCGTACCTAAAACAGAACTCATCCTTCCCTCAAACTTTCCCCTTTTCCTAATTTCCTTGTCTTTTCCAAGGCACCCAGGTTCAAAAGCCCAGTCATCCTTGACTCTTCACTCTCCCTCTCCCCCCTCTACATTCACTCAGTTGCCAGGTCTATTGTCCCTCCCTAGTATCTCTGGAATCCATCTCCTTCTTTCCACTCCTGAAGCCACTCTAGTTCATCATCTCCTGCTGGAGACTATGGCATCTGCCTCCTAATTGTTCTCCTTGCCTCCTCTTCCTTTTCCCTCCATTCATCATGCCTTTAAGACATACCAATCAGGTGACCCTGGGCAAGTCACTGAACCTCTATGGGCCTCAGTTTCCTAATCTGTAAAAATAAGGGGATTGGTCTAGATAGCCTCTGAGGTCCTTTCCAAATCCAAGCCCATGATCCTTTTTAACTTTATAGGTTCTGCAACTTGGAGAGGCTGGGTGATTTGCCAGGAATCACTCACCCAGTATGAGTCAGATGCAGATCTTGAACCCAGATCTTCTTGAGGCCAATACTTCACTACTCTACCTGCTTGATTATTTGTGTAAAAGCTGTATTTCTAGCTTTAGCTGACTTCCTTCTGCCACCCACCTGTTTGTTCAGCTATTTTCAGTTGAGTGTGATTCTTCATGACTCCATTTGGCAGTCTAGGCTAAGTCTTGTGGAAATAGATACAAAAGTGAAACGAGTCAAAGACCTTATATTTTGGGAGGGGCAGGTAACATGTACACAAAGGGCACAGCATGTCCCATCTCCTCAAACCACGACACCCCCCCCCCCCTCCAGTAATTCACTGTGATCTGGTGAGGGGATGGCCCAATGACTGAGTTGGAGCAATTTGGAAAGGCCTCTTTAAGGAGGTGTCATGTGAGCTGAGCCTTGACCCGGACAAGGGGTTCCAAGATTCAGAGGTGAGAAGGGAGGGAAAACATGGGGCCAGGGGACTGAGTTTGGCAGAGGTATGGATGGAGGCAGAAGATGACTCGAGGAATCTATTTTTTAACAGAAAGGCAACGGGAAGTTTCTTGAGTTATTAAATTAATCGAAGACACAAGCGATTAGGAAGGTAAATTGCTTACTGTTTTTTGTTTGTTTTTAAGATGCTCAGCAAAGCAACTAAAGGATCGTAATCTTTTCGGGATTATGCGAATCCCTAGATCTTTTAAATGGTATGGATAATTGACAATCGAATGTATTTCGTGGTGTTTTTTTTTTTCCTTTTGTAACTTCTGAGTCAGGAAGACTTTGGATCAAAGTCCTGCCTGACACCAACGGGCAGTCATACTGACACCGTGGCTGAATCATTTAAAGTATCGGTGCCCCCAAACAATTCTCCAAAGACTATACCTGGTAGAGAAGTTTCTGATCTACCCTAGTGGAGGGGATTTCCTCATTGGGAATTCGTTACACAAATGAAATCAGAACTGCTCTCCTCTTTCCCCCTCCCCCGACTTAAAAACAAACTAATATTCGAAGATCATAGACTGGTCGAACTAGAAGGGACTTTAGCAATCCTTCTCATTTTATTACAGAAAAGGAAACTGAGGCTCGGAGAGAGGGAGGTGATTTGCCTAAGCCAACCAGGGGCAGAGCAGGGCAGGGGAACAAAGTCCCAGCCTCTTGCCTCCCAGGCCCGCGGTGTTTTCATTTCCCCGCGTCTGCAGCCTCTCTTCAGGCCCCACCCTTAGGAATTCTGCAGATACAGGTAACGCAAAAAATAGCAAGGCGTGGTTTTCTCCGCCGAGCCAAGGCACTTTTACTGGGAACTGCATGCGGACAAAAAGGGGTTTTGCAGAGGATTCGCCTGACAAATAGGTACTGATGGGGGTGGAGTGGAGGAGGGGCTGGGAATTAACTTTCCAGCGCAGTACTCAGGCTCGGGCCACTCTGCTTGAGTCCAAGCCCGGAGCTCCACCCTCGGGGCGAGCTCCTGGCCACTTAAGCCCCGCCCCCTCCCGGCAGTCAGTCAGCCTGGGGCTCCGCAGCCACCTGCCGGCCCCCCTTGGTCCCCTGGGTTGCCCGCAGTCTTTACCTGGGGCTGGCCTGCCCACCTGAGCCCCGCCCCGTCCAGCTCTAGACCCCCAGCGCTTGGCTCTTCGCTACTCGCTTTGGGGCCTCCCACCCAGGGGCGTTCGGAGGCCACGCCCCTTTCGAATCCCAACACCCTAGCGCCCTGTGATGTCACAGAAGCTTTGATACAAAGAAACCTTCGGCCCACGCGGGTCGCCCCAGCAACGGGAGAGGGTGGGGGCGGGGCCGGGACCGGGGCAGTCGCCGCCTTCAACAGTTGCGGAAAGGACTGGGAAGAGTAGAAGGAGGAGGAACAGGAGAAGGGAGAAGCAGGGGAAGATTGTTCCAGGCTGTACGCACGGCATCCTTCTCCTCCTCCTGGTACTGCCGGGGCTGCCTCCTGCCTCCGGGGCTGCGGAATGCACTCGCCCCCAGCTCCTCCGAGCCAGGTAAGGTGGCCTGCGGCAGCGCCGGGCTGGGGGGCTGGCTGAGCGCCGTGGGACCTCCGGGGAGCAGCGGGGGCGGGGTACACCTTGCCCGGCCCGGGGTTCCCCGAGCGCCCGCGGGGAGCGAGAAGTTCCTGGTTCGTTTGCAACTTCTGCAGTCTGGCATCGCGGGGACGCTCGCTGCCCTCTCTGGCCGGGAGCCCGCCCCTTGCCGGGGGGAAGTTGCTTCCTTTCCTCTCCGATCGGCCTGTACTGGCTGCCCTGGGGAGGCCGGGGGCACGGTCCGGTCGGAGCCGGCCTGGGGTCAGATTACGTGACTCCGAGTTGGCGCAGGTGCTGGGCGCGGGATTTGCCCCGAGCTTGACTCGAGCCTGCCTCGGTTGGGCCAAGCTGGTCCACCCTCTGCTGAAGCTCTTTGGGGGGGTGGGGGTAGGAGAAAACACCCCCTTACACACTCCCCCACGCCACTCTCCTGCGCGGGGCAGCACTAAGGAAGAGGTAGCCCTGCAGACAGCAGGGGCCCGGCTGCGTCTCCTTGTGGATTAGAGCATGGGGGCTCGGGATGTGTGTGTCTGTGTGTGGGGAATGTATATTGTGCAGAAGAAGCAGCTAGAGAGAGTACTCTTAGATACCCCTAATCCCCCCTTCCCTCTCCACACACACTGAACACCCTCCTACAGGGTCCGCATCCTTGAAAAAAAGTCACGTTTTTCCTGTATGTAGAGGTTTGGTTTGAAATGACCCGCCTCCCATCACCCCTTACACAGACCCCTGTGTCTGGGAGTAGAAAACCCTCACTTAATCCTGGGGAAGAGGGCCCCTAGCCCTCTTAACAGCTAAGCCCCCTTCTACCGTCCCCCACCCCTTCACCTGCTTGGCATCTTGCCCCGGGCCGTGGTATAGAGCAGCGGTTGAATGAATGATTGTTGCTCTTTGTAGCTTCCTTGTCCGTTTACCAGTAACTCGTTTTAATTTCTGCCTCTTTTTATCTTTGCATCCTATTAAATGCCTACTGTGTGCAAGGCACTGTACAATATGCTGGAGACGTTTTTGTTGTTGTTGTTATTATTTTCTTTTATTTTTTGGCCAGAACCTGCAGTTTCGTTGGTAGAGAATGAAGGCGATCGGTTGCTATTGAGAAATTAAATCACTCAGTCAGTCATATAACCTGTATGTGTCAAGAGTTGAGACTTGAACCCTGGGCGTCCTGACTCAGTCACTGGCTCTATCCATTCCCACTGTGCTGGACAGCATTACACCCCAAGCCGCCCCTGTGCTCTAGGCGTTTACATCCCACTGTGGGGGGTGGGGCGATGTAACAACATTTGCATAGAAAAATAAACATTATATAATCTGGAAAGGAAGAGACCCCCTAACTACTAGAGAGATGAGCAAAGGCTCCTCGAAGATGTAAGAGAGGAGGAGAGACCCTTGTAAAGGCATCTTTTCTCTTGTGGATCAAATATGTCTCAGTGGCAAGCTTCTGCCCCACCTTGAGTGCTTTGAAACTGGCAGGTTTCCTGTGGCAACATGCAGCTCCCTCACTCTTTCCACGGAGCTGATCTCGGAGGGACCAGAAAGGAGAGGGGAGAATTGATTGTCTCCCTAATAGGCTTCCAAGTGTCCAGTGACAATTTTTGGTCCAGTCCCTTGGTGTTTCTGTTTCTGATTTCTTGGGTGCAGATTAGATATTAACAGACCTGTGTTCCTAGCCAGCTTCTTGGAGTCTGACTTTGAGTAGTCTGTGCCCAGCCTCTCAGAGATGTTTTTATTCTAAGGCTCCAAGTAGATACTGTAGATAATATGTAAAAACATGTTGTAATTCAGAGACATAGGGAAGCATAAGATGCTGTTGCTACTCGGAGAGGTAGGCAGACTGCCTCATTCTTCAGACACTAGCTATGTGTGGTCTGGGCAAGTGACTTCACCTCTCAGTCAGTCCCCCTCCCCCCTGCCTTTCCTCATCTGTAAAATGGGCCTAAAAATACTTTCACTACCGACCTAGATGGGTTGTTGAGAGGAGAGCTCCCAAAAGTGTTCCAGAAATGAGTTGTCTGGAAAGTGCTTTAAAGTGTTACAGAAATGAGTTATTACTAACACTTAGTGAGGAGGTTGGGAGGGTCTGAGCAGTTCACCAGCAGGTAGCCCCTAACCCTGTGCTTCAGATCTGAGTGTGGTCGTCCTCTCCCTCCCACCTTGCTGTTCAAAGTCATCTCCTCCAAGTCATTTAACATCAGTATCTTAATTTTCCTGTGGAAAGAGAGCAACTGCTTGGCCTCAGTTCAATTGTGAGATAACTTGGGTGACAGAGATTAGGACCAAATTTTCAGTGTGGCCCTTGTTAAAACCTGGTATTTACTAAGCACCTATTATGTGCTCAGTAAATAAGCACCTACTATGTGCCGTGGACTGGGATGTTGGACACCTGGCAGGATCATGGATTTAGAACAGAAAAGGATCTTAGAGGCCAGCTAATTAGTCCAAGCCCCTCACTTTACAGACAAGAAACTGAGGTGGGGGTTAAGTAGGCCCTTCCCTGTCTGCCTGCTGGCTAATCTGTGTGGTATTAAACATTGGAATTTTCATGGAACAAAATCTCTCCATCTCCTGTGCCTCCCTGCTTTTCTTTCTTCTGCATATCTTTTTCCCCACCATGTGTTTGCTTAGATCCTCAGAGACCTGTGGCCTCTGGCTCCCTTATTTTCCCAGAGCCGTTAATCTTTACAAAGACCAAAGTTGACCTGGGGGCCAGGGCCTCAGGTCGAATCACAAGGCTCCAGCTTACTTCTGGTTGTCTGGAGATTTGATGTTCTCCCGATAGGTAGAAGCAGGTGACTGCCGGGGCCTTGGTTCTGTCCCTGTCAGGCTGTCTGGGCTGTGATTTGTCTCTTAGGACAAGCGTTCTTAGAGACCAGTGGTCCATCCACTTTAAAAAAGGATATTTTGACAACTGCATTTTATTGTAACTGGTTTCCTTTATAATCCTGTGCAGTGTACATTGAAAAATATGATTCTGAGAGGGGATGGGGGTTTGGCAGACCGTCAGTGCCACACAAAAGGTTATGAGCTCCCATTTTAGTGTGTCTGATTATCACGAGGGATAGTGAAACATTTCCAAAAACTCTCTCCACAATAGAATTGTAGGTTCCTTCAGCTGGGAAAATGCAGAGTATTTCAAGGAATAGATGAAGGTGGAGTGGGAGAGCTGAGTTTCATCAGGGATATGAAATAGCAGACAAGTTGCTTCCTCCCTCAAAAGTGGTACTCTCACCTCAGCTTCTAGACAGTCTAGGAAAGCCAGTGGGCAAAAGTTGTGTTCTTCCTGGCTGTGAGAGCCTGCCTCCAGGACCCTGCTGTAGGCCTGGTGTTACCAGTCAGTGAAAGCTTAGATATGGATTTGTTGAAAGACTTGGATTTGAATCCTGCTCAGATGCTTGCCACCTGTATGACAGAACAGCTCTTAGCCTCAGTTTCCTCATCTTACAGATGAGGGAGCCACAGTAGGTGATTTTCAAGTTTCTTTTTACCTCTCGGAGGCCGTATAACATGTGCAGGTGAAATAGAGGAGAGAAATTGGGGTTTTGCCCATTTGCTGACTCCCACGTGCATCACTGTGTGATTTGGGTTGAGTTCTTTTTGTGGAGGATATACATATATATATACACTTCATATATATAGCATATATATATAAAGTATATATAATATATAAGTATATAAAAGTATAAATTAATGTATACATATTTAATTTCTATTTAATATAGATCTATCTATGTCAATATCTATATCTGTCTATTGATATATTTCTCTATCTCCCCAAAGCCTTACTAAGTTCAAACTGCATTGCCTTTGGAACAGCCTGTCTGTCTCCTGTGTTTATCTAGGAATGTATCATTTCTCCCTATTAGAATGTGATCTCTTGGAGGGAAGAGGCAGTCTCAGTATTTTTCCTCTTTGCATTCCCAGCTCCTGGCACATGGTAGGTGATTAATAAATACTTGGCAGTAGGCATTGTTTCATTCTTTGTGCTGGTATCCCCAGCTTTGCACAGTGTTTGGAACATAGTAGGCACTTGTTGGTAAAATATTTGTTGATTGATTGATGGTTGAGTTGATTTGGAGTCTAGCAAGGAGTATTGGGGTTTATGAGAAACTGGGCCATGTTGAAGCATGTGTTCCATTCTCCTGTATAGTAAAAGGGGAAAAAAGTGAGTTCTGTTTGTGGTTTAGTGGAAATGAATGAATGAATGAATGAATGAATACGTGAAAATTCTTGAAGATCTCTTAGGGAATGAAAGCTGTTAGGAATTGTCCCCCACCTGCAGATGCAGTGGGCAAAGTGGATAGAGAGCCTGACTCAGAAAGACCTGGGTTCAAGTCCCATTTCAGACTACAAGCTACAAGGAAGGTACCATCCTGCCTTGGTAGAGGGGTCTTTCCCACCTGGGAGTCCCTATCCCACCCACTTTGCCAGGTGGAGTGAGTATGTATGTAGCAGAGGACTCACACACTGTATTGGAATGTTTTTCAGAGCTGGAGGTTGACTTCCTGTGATGAGCTTCTTATGGGTGAAAAGCTTCTCAGGGTTCCTGGCTGTTTTCTCTCCCTCTCTGTCTCTCCCTCTCTCTATCTCTCCCTCTCCCTCCTTCCCTTTCTTTCTCTTCCCCCCCTTCTCTCTCCCTCTCTCTCTGTCTCTCTCTCTCTGTCTCCCTCTCTCTCTCTCCCTCTCTCTCTGTCTCTCCCTTCCTCTCTCCCTCTCTCTCTGTCTCTCCCTCCCTCCCTCTCTCCCTCTCTCCCTCCCTCTCTCTCTCTCCCTCTCTCTCTGTCTCTCTCTCCCTCTCTCTCTGTCTCTCTCCCCCTCTCTCTCTGTCTCTCCCTCCCTCAGTCCCTCTCTCTCTGTCTCTCTCTCCCTCTCTCTCTCCCTCTCTCCCTCCTTCTCTCTCTCTCTCCCTCTCTCTCCCTCTCTCTCTGTCTCTCTCCCCCTCTCTCTCTGTCTCTCCCTCCCTC